TCCGATATGACGTAAGTGTCGATGGTCGAGCAGCGAGACGGCGGGCGATCCCTCTCCGTTCCTGGCGGCTCGCGGATCCCTTCGGCCGGCGAACCGTCCGCCGGGCTTCCCCCTCGTCGGAGATGGTACAAAGCCGAGTCGGAGGCGGCAGATCTCCTCCTGGGGGGTTGGGATCTGCTGTTGAGGGACAGTTGCTCGCTGACGACCGAAGGTAGTCTCTGTCGATCCCACGACTCGGGAGGTGACGAGGGGACATCCGAATGACTTGCACTGTGGGACGAGTAGTGACCCCTCGGTGGAGTTGGGGATAAATTTGGCTTCGGAGGCTGCACTGCAGATGGTGGCTGTTGATGATGGACTCGAAGCCTGGACGGGCTGAACGCTGCAATGGCGTTCCCACCTCTCCGAGTCTGCGACACGCCCAACTCGTTCACGATGTTGCCAGCGCTTCGTGTCCCGTGTCTCGAAACCGCTGACGGGTAATTTGGCAATGATGCTTGCACCCTCTTACTGGACTCCCACTCCTTGTAGACGCTAGAGTCAAAATGCTCTCCCAGAGCGGCAGTTATCTGCTTCAGATTCATAGCGGCCCTGCTGATCTTGGACGTCCGGAAATTGGCAAAGGTGTAATAAGGATTACTGGCGTTGGCCATGGCCTGAGCACTGCCTCCTTGAGCACGGCCCTTCTTTGCCCCAGGCTTCGGCGGCATGGGGTAGGAAGGAAATCCGTTGGGGAGGCTGAACAGGTCTATGATCTTCTTGGTCGTGGTGGCCCCCAGAAGGTACCTGTCCTTTCCTTTCAGGTCCAGGGGGCGAGGGACGAACGCCAGCGGTTGCTGCGGCCGGGCGTAGGCGGTGTTGGCCGCTGGGCGTCTCTCATAGATCGGGATCCGGTTGGGTATGGTGTGGACTTGCAAATCCAGATCAAACGTAACTTTTTTCCGCGACCGGGACTCCGCGGGGGTGGCCTTCTCCGCCGCAGCCTCAACATGGGCAACGGCTGGTGGTTCCGATATGACCACAGCCGGCTCATCTGTTTCTTCTTCCATAACAACACCGTGGAATAAAATCCAACTTATTGCATTCCTACCTCATTCTTGACACCTCCAGAGCCAGGCAAAACGCTTCATTGTCATAGCCTTAACATCCAAGTTGCCAATTAAAGCTCGCTTCTGTATCCCATGTATCGCATCGGCTCGTCCCACCTGCGTCAGTGCGTGCCGCTCAAAAGTGAAATTCAAAGTCCATTTCCTCTGCCAACAGCTCGTAAATTGTTGTGTAAAATTGCTTCCATAAAGCAATTATGGCAGCTAATTTGAGGAATCAAAGTGCAAGGTCACTGTTATTTCCTATTTCAAGCCGGCTCTATACTGGCAGGAATTGTGTTTGATGCAAGAACACCCCGCGGAGTACCCCCGGCGTAATTATACGTGTTCTTTAGCAGTCCCTGATTGTTTGAATATTGGACATCCTCCTCACAATCAGTCTCTTGAGATTTTCAGCACTTAGATCCATTTTCCCATAGATCACTTGGCGACGGTGAAAGTTAACTTCACTGTCCCACCTCCTGCAGTCGTGTTTGTACAACTACTTACGGCATGCCCTTCCACCCGTGCCTTGTCAACGAAGTGCCGGTACGGCGTCTGGTGTCGCTATGGAGACTTGCCGGAGACATGCCAGAGACTTTCTAGATTCGAATAGCCCTCAGTTGCACTCATCTCGTCCGAAATCCTCAGTTTGGTTTGACACAAGCGGAAAAGGAATTTAGATTGTGACGATGGACCGTGGTATCCGGCAACACCAAAATTTGATAGAAACAAAATGAATCCATCCATAGAAATACTGTTCATTCCCTCAGGTTCTGAATGGAAACTGCATTCACGCCAGCACCTGAAATTCCACAGCTGAAAGTTGGAAACTCGAAGCTTTGCAGGAGATGAAATCTAATCAAAAGCTAGTTTATTTCCAAACACGTCTGTCTTGGCTTCGTCTGAGTTACCAAGCCGCCGGCCAGTTCAGGATAACGCACCAGTCACTACCCGCTTCATCCGGATCTGACCACGATTAAAGTAATTTGTTGCCCAACATTCCCTCTAAATCCAATCCGCTCGGGCAACGCAAGCAACCTCTAACCCCCAGCTCTCATTGTCTGTCCTCGTGTTATCGTTGTTCAGTCGATATGCCGTTTCCACAGTGCTACCATTGAAAATATCTTATGTAGGACATCCCGGGCACATTGTGATGGAAATGTATTGTGTACTCATCGATCTGTTGATAAAGAGACACGGCTCGTGCCCTAGACTAAGTTTACGTGCTGTATATACGTGTGCTGGCGCTAGTCTCGTTTTCAGGCGATTTTATTCGTAGTCATCCAGGTCTGTCGTACCGTATGTACTCATTTTCTCTTAACTTTGGCCATAGCTAGCTTAAAAAGGGAGGAAAAGCAAGTCAAAATTCCACGGGAACAGAGAGTTTGAAACAAAATCCCTGTTTAGGCTGAGATTTATTTTTAATGAACGACTTGGAACGCCAATACCTAGTCCAGGGTCGGCCCCTACGTAGTAGCGTAACATTTCTGCCAAAAACATATGGGGGTGCATTTGAAGCAAGATATGGGACGGAGAGAACCCCCCGCCTTTGTGTTGGTCATTGTTTGATCGGNACTTCTAGGGGGGATGTGTTAGGTAACAATAGTCTAGAGTGTGTATAGGGATTGGACATGTAAGGGGAGGGGGTACCCCTCCGTCCCATATCTTGCCTGGTATAGGGGATGGGGGGGTGGGGAAAGGTGGGGGAGGGGACAGCATATGACACAGTATAAAGGTCGATGTTCATGATATTGATATACATATGTAATATGTATTCAGAATGGCATATGTATTCATATGGCTGTAAGCATTCTTTTCCATTTTCTGATTGATATTGAATGCACTCTGGTCGTTGGAAGTTTGACAGTTCTTTGCATTCCGCTTTAATGTATTGCTCATCACAAAAAAAAGCCACCTACAAAAATAGATTTACGCTCATTCCCCTACAGAACACTTGGCTCAAGTAAACCGTCCGGCCACAGGCTGCAATCTGCGTGCATCAATGTTTACGCAGTGATATGTCAAACAAGCTGACTCTCAACAGAGACTATACACGTACAATGTACATGTAATTCTAAATCGATCTGCACGTCCCCTGGGACTGTACATACGACTTTATTTACAGACAGAATTTGTCAAATTTGCAAAGCAAAATCCACGCATACATTCGTTACCCATGCATATACTCACTTCTTTTTCCTGCATTAAACTGAACATCTGGAATGTGGGTAGAAAAGTTCCTCCGTATCATCGCTATTAAAAGGTGTCATGTTTTGTTCTCTAATAATTGTGTTTATAATATCCGAATGCATATTGGTTTATTTTTCTTCAACAATTCACTGTTATGAGCGCTCTAAGGGATGCTTAGTCACATTGAGCTAGATATTTTCCAGCCCTAAATGTCTCATCTATAAGCACTAAATAATTGTTCTTTCTTTGACTGGAAAGGGTGATGTACATCCGAATTCAGATTCTGAGTGATTGGGAATCAGCGGTGTTTCGATTGACAACTTGAAACAGACGCTTCGATCGAGAGTGTATGATTCTATTGAATCGATGTAATAAAGTCAATACAAATTTCCATCTACAATTAGGTTTATCTCTTCACTTTCTTTCGTTAGTGCGAGTGCGTGATTGGCGTGCGTTGAGGTTTATTTTAGAAATATCACCGACTCCTTTGATGGAATTCATTCATTAACAACTTTCTACAATGATGTGGGCCTATATCTTTTTCCCTAAATTATGGACAGGCAGGCTAATGAGATTGTAAAAAAAAAGAACAAAAAAAACAAAAAACCTTAAAAACACACACACACACAAAACAAAAGCAAAAAAAAAATCAGTGACAATAATTACATTGACATCGAGCATTGACATTTATCAAGAGAATTGAATTAACAGATTATAGAATCCAGAATCCAGAAAAGAAAATTTCTGAAAAGATACGCAGTGGCGTAATTTTATGCAAGGAGGGGTGTGTGTGGGGGGGGGGTTAAATTCAAAAGAAAAAGACAGCCGATGACAATAGTATGGTGTTCGTGATACAAGTGTACATCTAAAATCAGCCTTCCATAAAAAAAAGCGTCGTTGTTTTCCCCTTACTTTGTTTCTTCCCGTTTTAGTGCTAATTCGGTTCGGTTGTTGGGAATTCTGACAAATTCCACGGAAGAGTGTGTGTGTGCAGGGGGGGGGTTGATTCAACCACTGCCCATCCCCTTGGTCAAAAAGTGTGTTGCGTTGTGCAAACCCATCTCCCAGGAATTTAAGCCTCCGAAGATACAACATAGGGCCTATGTAGTTCTTGTCCACAATCATAAATATCACGTTCAATTTTTATGTCTAAATTCAGGTCCAAATCTTCGGTGGTTATCAACAAATGCCGACAGCAGACATAGCAATGCTCTGACAGTCCGCAGTGGACACGACAGGCTTTGTTATCCCCCAGTCTTAGATTCGTATCTCACCTCTCCTGATCTCTAACTCAAAAATAAGTTTCACAACATTTTGTTCCGTCTGCATGAATCAGATGAAAACAATGCTACTAAATTTGGACTAAAAAGTAGGCCTACACAAACACTAAAACGTTTTGTTACAGCAGAAAATGAAATTGAATTGTGAAATTGAAGCTCGTCCGGAGTACTGCCTTAATTCGTAAAACGGAAGCACGAAGCTGAACGGCCGCGACGACGCTCACTTTAGTTGCAAAAAATAATGATTGTTGAACATCATCAGTGCCGTAGCGCTGTAAAAGGTCAATGGCGCCCTCTATCAAAAAGAAAGTTAATCTTTTCAGGATCAGGAGAGGGCGTGAGTCATTGTACAAGTTGAAACAAGTTTGGGGCGAACTCAACTCATGCAACTTATACATGTACATGTACATTGTACCGATATACTGTACATGTGCGGGCGCTATATAAACACCAGACGCGTCGGCACGTGAACCACATAGTAGGACTACATGTACTGTGCTGGTTACACTTTTAGACATTTACTTTAGTTTTATGCTCAAAATACACGCTGAACAGACTGACTAATTAGTCCAGGTACGGTAGGTAGGCTTCCAGCGGAACTACAGTTTCAATTTCTATACTACTGGGCCCATTTGTAGGGCTTAGGCTAGGGTAGGCTATGGAGCATTTAACACGAAACTTCAAAACGGGTTGTTGACGTTCGGGGGGGGGGCAGGGGCATGTTGGGAGGTAGCCCCACTAGTGTGGCACGGACTCTCACTCCCGTAGTGAGAGTCCGTGCCACACTAGTGGGGCTGGTTGGGAGGGGGGTGGATTGGAAGGTGTTGGTTGCCAGCTTTATTGTTCATTCATGGTTGTTGTAATTGTGATGTCAGGAACTGTAGTAACTGCAATGCAGCAATTCTAACTCATAGGGTGGCTAGATTCATGGAAATTTCACATTGTTCCAATTATTTTTGTTATAATGTCTTCTTCATGTTCTTAGGAAGCTTTAAATTTGCATTCAAATGGTAGGTCTCCCATCTCCATAAGGCGACTAGAACCGAAGTTATAAAATATATGTGCACCAAAGTCATGTCGATGTGTATAAATAGGTTAAATACTGAAGACAGTTTGTTAGATACAAACCGAAAAATTAACAGACCATTTCCAATGTGGAATTTGTGGGAGGTGAACCAGAATTTCTCCCAACCCAGGGGGGCTCTCAGCACCTCCCTCCCCATTGTAATGGTGGATTTCAACTGATAATGATAACATGCAAGGTATAATAAACACCACGTTTCAGTTTTCTTCTTTAATGCAAATCTAATCAAACGTACCACAGGTAAGACACGTAAGGATATTCAGTCATCATTTGTGTCTGACATTGGCATTTCTGTGAATGTCGCCATGTCATTTTGTGGGTCAAATAAATATTTTTGGCAAAAAGTTTTATTGCAGATTCAAAGCGATTAAAGTCACTTAAGGTCCGTAGATGCCGCAAAACACATTTTCATTCTTTGTATGAGTACCCGGGCTTTGGTGTTAAGGTAAAAAACGACGGTCACAAAACAATTAAAATAACAGCATATCAGGAATAGCGCCACTAATGTCTGGGTCCATGAATTTAGCTACCTTCGGTAGCATTAGCAGACCTGACTGATATCCTTTTGGAAAGACAGTGGATATTTAGCCATCACCCACTAAACTTACCACATGAAAGAACAATTAGCTGGCTACAAGGAGACGGGGCCCTCTTTGATGCATACACTCAAGTAAGCCTGCAAAGAATTCCATGTGTGGACGCTGCTTGACACCCCTGTGCACAAACCCTACGAGACTGGTCTAAAAAAACATGTGTTTTAAAGTGAATGCCGCAATATTTTCACTGCTAAATTTGACTTTGAATTGATATATTGATCAATTCAGTAACTGAATTATTGAATAATACTTGGACCAATGCCAAATCACGTGTGTTGATCATTGTCACTTTGTACCAGTTTTAGAATATCACACAGAGTGTCCATATCGCTTTTTCCACTAACATCATTTATTGATTTCTTTCATTACAGCTTTAAGTGCAAACCCGTCTCTCAATGATGGAATTTGATGGATTTGATCAGACACAGGCTATACCGCTTGACGATTACAGTGATGACACTGATGACCTCGGGGATCCAGACGACAAGCAACCTGTACGTTATGCCCATTGGACCAATCCCCGAGCATTTATTCTACACCTTAATTCTTGTTCCTGCAATACGAGATTTGTTAATCGCACCTCATCCACAGATGATCTTGATTGGCTGAGATCTAGTCAAACGGCATTCAAAATATTTGTGCTGTCTAATTGTTATGCAGGCCCATGCCTCTCCCCGTTGCAGTTGAAGTATCATACCCACAGTGACCCATGTACTATACCTGGAACTACCAGAGTACTATAAATGACCCAAGTGTGATGTCATTTTGAACCATGAAGTGTAATGCAACAGAATGGAATGCTAATAATAATTTAATAATTTATTCATTCATAAAGCGCAAATTTCATATAGATATGTTCAAATGCGCTCTACAATGAAGTTATTAAGCGTGGAACAATGAATACATTTGAACATGGTTGAGCCGATGGCATACAAGGGTGCCTCGGGCAGCCGCCAAACGACCCACATTCACCAACATCAGTAAAGGGGAGACAGTAAGAAGCAGTTACAGTTTTAGAGTACAATACACACAGCAGCTGTTATCATTGGCAAATATTTGTAAAGTTTCACAGTTTTTCCAAGCAGTAGCAACAGCAGGGTCCAAACAGTGTTTGAAGTGATAGTCCAGCAGAGTGCGAGGGAATTTTAGTATAATTTGTAGTCAAATAGAAGCACATTTTAATGATATTTAGGTTCAATTAATCAGTCAATTAATTAGTCCATTAATCTCCAACATGTAATCAAGAAAGATCTCTCGGAAAGGTGTGATAAAACGGCTATTGACTGCTTTATCTCCTGGTGTAGAACTAGCCTTCCGACATGATCCATGAAGCATTCTATTTTTCCCGAGGCGAAGAGGAAAGAAAGAATGCTTTGTGGATCGCCTTGGGAGGCAAGTTTTACTGCACCACTTGAGGCTGTCAGTATTTGTCTACCATGCGTGTGCTTGGCACAGTACGTGCATGTTGGTTAATGATTGATAAAGTACAAGATGTGTTCTGACATCTGGACAAAAAGAACTCATTTTGCTGTGAATTCCTTCACTGTCAAGGGCCAGGGCTAATGTACATGTAGGTACAGTATTTTCAAGATGTGACTTTTTCTACCCAAAAAACTCACTGATCAAGTTGGGAAACTCACGAGTTTCACAGTTGATGCCGTGCTCCAGATGCTGTGAGATTTGCAGCCAACCGCCTTTACATTCTGTTGTGCATGTGTGTGGAATTAATCGCAATTTGGACAACATGGGCATGTTTTCCATGAACGTGACTAACATGTATTTCAAATGTTACATTGAATTTATAAACGCAACAGTATCTACATTAGCTGAAAACCCTGATTTGCCCAGCCTGTGTCAAGCTAGTTCAAGTCATGCAACGGAATGCTGCAAATGTCTGAGAACATCGATTGTGATTGTGTTTATTTGTGAATCGTTTACAGGCCGGCTATCTCAAGGTGTTTAGCCAGAAGAGTTTTAATGAGACATCGTTCCCTGTGTACGAGGGCGACAACTTCATTGGTAGACACGAGAGTAACGAAATATGTATTCCCCTCAAGGTGAGGAGGAACATGCTTTATTTTAGCTTGATTGTAGGTGGAAAGGTTAGCTCAAGAGGTAAAAAGTTTAAAAAGTCCCCTCCCCTTGTCCATAAAGCCATGTTTAAAATGGAAATTGGAAATTAAGTTAATCATATGCTGCTGGGGAGCCCAGTTTTGGGCACATAGGCTTTATACATGAAGCTGGGGAGCCCGAAACCGGACAAAAGAGCTGGGCCTTGTAACCGAAGACCGTACTCGGAACAAAAGACTGAGCTGCTGGGAGTTGCCAACATTTTTTTCAGTTGTCAATAGCGGAGGAAATCTGTCCTCATTTTGAGAGGTTATACCACTGTTAGTGGCATTCAGCACAAGCAGATTACCACGGGGGACAAAAGCGCTCCAGTGATGACTGATACAATATCACTGGAAGCTAATCTGGCCCTTATTGAAAAGATGCCAGTAGCGCATTGTGCCAGTTTGGGAACAAAAGAAAGTTACATAACACTGCACAATCTGGGCTCTTTTTACAAGGGCGTAAACAGATGTTGTCTGTTAGATTAGAGTAGTCACCAGACAGTTATTCGTGTGGGTTTAAACGTCCGCTAAATGAAGCTATGATTTTTTAAAGAATTTTGAAAAAAAAAAATCTTGAAAATCTCCCAGTTTTATGTCGTGCAACTTCAAATTCCACCCGGCAGCAAGTGGTTAACTCAACTTGACAGAGTCACAAAGGTGCATTTTCAGATAACGTTTCTGCATGTACATCCATACACATACATGTAGGTCAAATCACCATGACATGTATATTGTGTAAATGGTTTCATCTTCTGTTCACAGGCCATGTCTAAGAAGCACGCTTGTATCGAGATCCAAGGAGATTCCCATCTGATCTATGACTTGGAGAGCAGGAACAAGACAAGACGGGGCAAGGTAACATTGAAACGATTTAAAAGACAAAAAAAGAGAGATTGAGAGGTCTCAAAAGGGTCGTTCCTTCTCTTCTGTCCCTCCAGCTAATGCTAATTCTAACCCGATGCAGTTTGACGGCACTACTACTAAGTTTACAATATTTTTCTGACGAGGAACCTTAGTTCATTTCATAGAGACAGACGTGAAAAACCTAGGACAAACTTACTTCAGAACAGGATTTACTCGAAATAGCAAAGTAACGGTGAAAATGTATGTGGAAGTAGGAATGACTTGTCCACCACACTTCTTTAAACAACCTACTAGTTCTGTGAAAATTGCCCTTGGGCCCAACCCAGAGTTATCCTTAGACAGTGTTGTAAATCCAGGCCGGCAAGCAGGGGAAAATCCCAAATCCCCAAGTTGCCCAGCCTTGGTGTCTTTGTATCAAAATGGTGCTCATAATAAAGTTCTTTACTGTTCAGTCTCACTGTTGGCTGTCAGAAAGATTAATATAACCTTTGTCAATTTTTGTTGCTAGCCACGGGAAGATTGGTGGGGTGGGGGATGAAATGGCTTGTCCCCTTTGGCCAACAAGTGGAAGATGCATGTCTCCTCCCTCTGCGGGATTTAAGTCAGTTTGCTTTGAGCAAGCAGCAACTTGGAACATCTGGAATTTTGTATTTTTCAGTATTATTTTTATTGATACTTGGTAAGGTGAAAGTATCTCGAATTTACTGAGCACACGTGCATTTATTGATTGTCTCACTTCTCCAGCTCTTCCTCAAACCTTCTGTTCGCTACGAACTCCAGGACCAAGACCCTCTCGTCTTTGGCGACATCCGATGTCAATACACGAGGGAAGAGATCCAACAGGTAAGCTTAACTCTGAGAATCTCTATCCCTGGGCGATATATGGTTGTCCTAGAAGCGCTGTATAATTCATACTTGTGGCTGTGCAAATGTCTGAAATGTTTCTACTGCCAGAATTAAATTGTTTTTATACATTGACTGATATTGTGTAAACTTTCTTTAATTGATAAAGTTCATTAGACAGGTGCGACAGACTGGCTTTGTACATGTAGCTGTGTAGCATAACAAACTGTGGTGAAGGATCCTGCTCATGGACACTGCCATGGGCAGTTTTAATGTGTAAACTCTTCCATGTCCACTGGTAACCAGAAACATTGTAAACAACTTGGATGTGAACGACATGTATGCCTGCTGGTACTGCTGCTGGTGTTGAACAATTTCACCACTGTTGAGTCATTGAATGCCTGTGCCCATCATTTGTAAAAGGTTTTTGATTAATAATATCAGAGCCAGGAAGCAACTCTAGAAATCTTTGTCATTTGTGAGCAAACTTTTCATTACTAACTTATCAACTTTCATCAGCTGGGTACGTGTAGGTCTTACTCCTGTCCACTTTCCGCTTTGGTAAATTTAACCATTTGTAATGCGTACACCGTGTGGAATATATTGTAAGTTACTGTACACCATAATTTGCTTTGTAGGTTAGGGATTTAAGTGGTGCACATTTTTTTTGAACTCAGCAATTTACGAAGTAAAACTACATGAGCAGAGCTACAACACATTATTTCGTTCGCTTGATGACTTGTTTCTGCAGCAGTGTATTTATACCCATAATTACCGATATACAGTCAGCCATGTGTCGAATGGGGCCCTCGAGCATGATGTCGGTTGCCATGGTGATGGTTCTACCCGCGGACTTGTCTGCAGTAACGACCATTCCAAAAGCACAGGCAGGGATACAGTTGGGTGACATTTGGGGTTACCTTGGCAACTGACTAAAAGATGACATATATCTATTCACTTTGGTTTCGATTGCAAGGAGATAGCAGTGGGGAAAATAGATTTCACAGAGCGTTTGACCAGTCCAGCACTTTATATGTTTTTGGACCGGTGACTGGCTTTTGTTGTAATGACTTGATTACCGCTCAGCAGAGAAAGGGGCCTTAAGAAATGGAGAGCCTCCAGGCTTAAGGATGAGTTCCAGTCAATGTTCACAGATTTCCTCAAATTCTGTATCATTCCCCCCCTCCCCGACATTTGAAAGTGTGTAGAAGGTATATACCCTCTTGCCTGCGCAGGAGTGTTGGCAGCAGTGCCTTTGTATCGGTACGTACATGTGATATGCACACAGCACTAGGCATGTCAGAACCAATCAGTGTACTCAATATACCCAGCAGTGTGCAGCCGGAATAATGTTCCACCAAAATAAAGTTTCACCGGGGGAAGTTGGGCAGATGAAATGTGTTGGGGACCAGAATTCTGTACGTGTGAATGCCTTCTGTCGGCCAATATGTCACGGTCATGTTGTAGGGTGCCAATGCATGCAGGCCAGGAACACAACTCCATCACATTACAGGCATTGGGCTAGGTATGAAGTTGTTAGCCAGAAGTCTATCTTTTTCAGCACAGAGGAAACACATGTCACACACCTGGTGTATTCAATAACAGCAGTTCAGAACCCCTCAAAAAAGTTGGAATCACACTGTCCATTTTACTCGAACTTACAGGCACATTTATTTTCTCTACATCCAATCATGATGACAAAACATTGACTTATTGAAGGAAAAAGAAATCAATCTCTCATGCATGGAGAAAGCTGGAGAGAAGAGGGAACGTAATTATTGGTAGTAGAAAGTGCAAAGGATACATCAATGACCCCGTCAGTGATTGAATTATTTGTTTGGTTTTGCAAATGCATTCATTGGGATGATTGTATCAACTTGTGTACATGTAACCAAGACAGGGTAGGGTTCGAAAACGTGCTGGCAGCTTGACTATGCCAATGTCAAGTGAAACAAATGGATGCTAGAAGACAGATCCTAGTAGCCACGACCCTCAGCAGATAAAGATGGACCTTATGAGGAGGGAGCCATTTTGTTTAATGTGTTGTGAGAATCTATTTGATTCTAATGAATAGGATTGTGTCAGACTATTTTTGGTTCCATGCCCCATTTTCATTGTTATTTCATGTGGCTTAAAAGATTTCGATACATGTATGATGTGGGCGTTTTACAATAGTGCGCTTCAAAACCCTTTCCAAATGCACATTGGGTCGACAGATTTTGTGCATTGTGATTGCTCAATGCCTTGCAAACTCTTGGAGATGCCCTATTGTGAATTGCCCGTATTAATCAAAAACTTTAAATTCTTCTCCACCATAAAGGAAATTAATTTGTGATGAAGTTTTATTTCAGTGCTCTTGTTTTTATTCTCAAGTGCCAAAATGAAGAAAAAATTAACCCCGCTGTCAATTCAGTATGGCTGACTTGTAAATAAGGGCAATTGAACTTTTTTTTCTAAATTATTCTCTTTGTACCAAATCCTTGTCCATATTCTTGAGTCACAGTTTTGGTGGTAGTGAGACCGAATTATCTGTAAATAAATTTTCTGGCTCAATTGAGAATTGCTCTCTGGTCCTCTCACAGGGCACCCCTGTTTCCCTAATTATGCTTTGTTCATGGAACCACCCAAATGGTTTGCAATTTATCTCCAACATACGGATCATTTTCCATATTGGTGCCATCAGTACATGTACTTCTTCCAAGGGTTTACACGTACAATGCAGATTCTACAAGCAAAATTAAGTAGACACGGCAATTTGACCAGAAATGGTTCTCTGTGGTGGGATGAGATTTGTTACAGCCTAATCACAAGAAATAAGTGGCAAAAATCAATGAAACAAAAGAGTTGTTGACTACTATGAAACAAGAGTGTTTTTTTTTCTCATTGAGGATGTACAGCATCTGACTTTGAACATCTCCGGTATCCTATTCTCTTCGGATGTTACAACATGTCGCTAATAACAGTTAAGCATTGTACACCCAAGTGTCTCGCACATACTGTACATCTGTCTTATTTTGTACATAAGCACTTGTTGACCAGAACATGATTTGGGCTAGAAATTGTGACTGTCAAAAACAAGATGTAGTAGCTAAGGCAACTGTTTATAACCAGCCAAATTCTACAAATGTTGACCTGTCCGAGCAATAGTAGTGTGATATTTCTCACTGCCAACTCATGTATCCTTACACAGCTATACTTGTGGGGTATTTCCTTTGTTCTCATGTACACAACTCCCACACAACACGCAAAAAAATTCAAATCACTCCAATTTAAACCAAATTCACTTTCGACCGTATGTCCCTTATATGCGACAGATTTCTACCCATCAAAAATTTTCCCTTGTTGAGTTATTTCCAAATATCAGTTTCATGAAATTCTTGTGGGACACCAATTTGGTTACCCCACAAGGTAAAACTGGCCTTGTGGGATACTTCTCATTGTTCGGTACCCCACAAGGCCCCATGTATAGGCGTAGTTGTTGCTGCGTGTGGATGTACATGTACGGTCAGCAGGCCATTTGCAGAGGCCCAGCTCAGGTTCAGTACACAGTCTGTGTACAAAACATATGGGAGATTAGTGTGTACATGTATAATCTTTAGCAAGAGTTGTGACAATGCGTATGTGGAAGTTAAACGTGTAAACCGTGCCCACGTCTACTAATGGACTTGGCTTGTTTTAACATCCTCCACCACAAAGGGGTTAAGGGACCCTCTCCAAGTAGACTGCCCATTCACAGACACAGACATCCTGCAGACTCACAAATATTTGCCAAACAAAGGTACCCTTGACAACCCGGGCCCTACCAGTGGCAACACAGTATGCATGGTTAATCTTGTGAATACAGTGCACACATTGCCCGGTGCACGGTGTACATAGTACATGATCTATTTTGCAGCACAGCAAACTGACATGCATCTGAGGACTTCAACCAACATGTTCAAGAATGTGCAATTGGGTTCATAGTTTTGGGCCCGGCAGTGTGTCTCTGTGATGACATTGGGCTCAGTGTAGTTTAGTTCTTGTTAACACCACTACAGGTATTTTACCGCAAACAGACAAACAGCACAACTTCTGCCTTCACGCAACAGTTACATGAACATGGCTGTTGTTGATCTACTTTTATAAACCAGAATTTCAAGCACCGCTACATGGAACATTTTAGCTGAGAAATTGTAAAGAGAAGATAAAGTCTTCACAAAAGGCACTTATTAAAATCTTTGTCTAGTATTGATACTTTTTTACACTGCTAAATAAATGTTCTTGCCAATCACATGAGTCCATAGACCTGTAGCTGAAAGTGAATATTTGCCATGGTAACCAATAGCTAGAAGCCAAGCTTATGCTTTCCTCAGTTTTGGGTGTGTGTCACATGACCAGGATTAAGTGAGTGTATTTAGAAATGCAACTCTGGTGTAGCTTTCTTGCAAATGGCTTTGAACCTGTAGTCACATTGGCTATCCTCCAGCATCAAACGGGAGTTTTCTACGTGTAGGCCCATGCAGTCTTCCCCGTCTGCTCCACGATTGTTAAGCCGTATGTCACCCCAGTCAAACGTGCTTTTTGGGTCAGTCATGACACCTGAGCATACCCAACTATCTGGAATAGAAACGGAAGAAAGCTAAAGCCCTTCAATGTGGGTGACTCACAAAACTCTTGTAATGCGCCGCCAAGAGGTTGTCACAGAGAGGACATTTCTGAAATGATAGCAGGGCGGTACATGATGCATGCATGGAGTGTGAAGCCATTACGTTGTGGGGTCTGGGACCTTAAAGGAAATTTTGGATTCTAGATGCTCTGTGGTGCAATCTGAGGTATTTCCCAGGCACTTTCTTTAGACTACTTCAATCTAATTTAATCAATTTGGACTCCGTCAATCTAAATGAATCTAATTTGCTCATGTTGAAATGAAGGCAAGATTGTTATCGGGAGGTCATCAAGAGTTGATTTTTTTTCTGGGGCGTTTTCTTTTTTTTACTGATCAGAACTTGCCATCGAGTGGATGGTTTGAGATTACATGTACATACATGGATGCAGCGGGAGTGGATGATGCACAATTGCTTTCCGAATTCCAGATCTCAAAAATAATCTCAAAAATAAGTCCATGGTCAGATTCCTATGATTCAGGTGAAATATGATCAGTCGTCCACCTTGTGTAATGGAAAAACTACAAAATAACTTTCAAAATCTAAGCTTTTAATCTGGACTTACGGGATCGTCAGAAGTGACAACACTTCTAGTTCTGAGTCGGTTTAACCGGTTCCGAATAGCAATAATTTTTTTTCTCGTATAAAAAGTCAGCCAGAGCAATTGTAGCAAGCTGATTTTCTAATTAAGAATTTCTTGATTTTGAGAAAATAAGTTAATAAATAACAATTTTCAGTGAATTAACTGTAGTTGAGTTCGCAACGTACTGTAGGTGCATACACTACCTGTGTAATCCACAACTAGGAAAAATATGTACATGTATTTAGTTTTTGGCAAATAAAAAAAACGGAGACTCCAAAAGTCATTTTGATTAAACATGCATTAAATGCAAACATTTATAGGACTGTTAAGTAAGAAAAAGTATTTGGAATTACAAGAACAGAATGACTTATCACGCGGTATATTTTGGTTGATTTTGGGCTCTCGTGACTTTTGACAAACCGTGCATAAATGTCGAAGTTCGAGATGAAAATCCATCTGGCAAAAATGTTCATTTCTAGATGTTTTCTAAAACAAAAATTGTGTACAAGAAGCTTACATTTCACCTGAACTTGTTTGAGAATGTAGAACACATAAGAAGTAGTTTTAGAAGCAGAAGAAAAGAAGTTTTATTTCAAGTGATCCGGATGTAGGAAAAATCTGCAACTAGGTCTACATGTAGGAAATTGGCTGTATTTTCTGAGGACAAAAACAATGCATTTGAGGTATTGATTCTTGACGCTACAAAATGAAAATGCTGTGACCAGGAGATTAGAACCAGTCCAGAATTTTGTGCTTTTGTACTACATGTATACTGCATCAGGCGTTGATCACTAACTGTGCTAAGTGACCATCTGCCTAGGATTGTTGTAGAAGAATTGTTCAGGAAGAATTCCTTGAGTTCTGGGCACAGAGAACTAGTAACACAAGAGGAGTTGTTTCACTGGCAGTAAGTGGTCAAATGCCTGCAACCCTGTAAACAAAGTCTTTCCTTGACAACTGATGATGCTGCCTTTTAATTGCCAACCATCTAGTGACAGATCCATTGATCATTGGCGAACAATCTAAAATGTGAGTCCATTGTTCATGGACAGGGATCATAAGTTATTCATGATTGGTACAGGATGAACTGGGTAAAAATTTGTCTTTTCTGTCCTTTTGGCAGACCATAAAAATTGAATTTGATGAGGATAAAAGAGAGTGGAATGATTATTTGATGAAAAGGGGATTAAAGTGAGAATAAGAGTTGCTGTGTGGATGATGGACTATGAATGGATGTCAGTAATGATAGAAGAAGGCTCCAACAGCACAGGAAAAACCCCTGAGCATTCGTGGTCTAGCGAACTGGAGACAGCTGTGCTCATAGCCGATGCTTTTCAAGTTGAAAAGAGAAAAGCCATTTTGCCTGAGTGTCTCCAACAACAAGAACTCTCTTGTTAAAGAGAGAATTTTCAAGTGCTTCCAAGAGCTTTATTAAAAAAAAAACTAGACTGCTTGTTCTGATTTGATTCGATAATCTTCAGTTTAACCAATGCAAATGGCTTACCATTCACCCACCAAGCTTATCAAGGTGAAATAGGTGGTTGCACTCTGCTTACAAGGCAGTTATTGTCAGTGTGACCAGAAGCCACGTAATGAATCTTTTCAGTTTAGGACATCTGGGAGTATTTTTTTTACCAAAAAATTTATACCATGCACACATTTTCCTCTGTCACCAGCACTTACATGTTAGGTTCCTGTGCTGTCATGATTAGTACAGTGAACTGAAAATGGTTCATGACAACTTTAGTCACCTTTATTGGTGAACCACAGTGTGCACGAGGTGGAAATGAACCAGGCCAACTGTAATTTATATTTGAAAAAAAAAAGATGGATAATTTCAGGCTGTCATCATGCAGATCCTTTGTAAGTCTCCTTTGCTATACCACTTCATTGTTACATTTATCCTTTGGATTCCCAAAAGGGTTTTTAATTTAACCTCATATTTATTGATGACTGATCAGCGAGGTGATTTGTCTCCGTGTTGTCAGAGAGATGGTTTTTTGACGACTGATCCGTGAGGAAATTTGTCTCCATGTTGTCAGAGAGATGGTTTCTTGACGACTGATCCGTGAGGAAATTTGTCTCTGTGTTGTCAGAGAGATGGTTTCTTGACGACTGATCCGTGAGGAATTTTGTCTTCGTGTTGTCAGAGAGATGGTTTCTTGACGACTGATCCGTGAGGAAATATTTCTGTGTTGTCAGAGATGGTTTATGAAAATATTGTAGTTTTGGCCTTTAAATTCAAAGTACATGTATATGGTAGCTGCCCATGCATGCCCAGGGAGGCACGGCAGATGCACGCATGTCATTATTTAAGTGCCACTAACATGCATCTGTGATTTACATGGGGAATGTACCTGTATATAAGATAGATCAGCACCGCTGGCTGCACCACCTTGGCACGTACATGTACCTGCATGTACTTTTTTGAAATGCTGAAATGGCTTGTTCACCATACTCCATGAATTGAACAAAAATTACACAGGTCTGTTACTTACTCTTGATTTAATACGATACCACTCAGTTCAATAAAGAAACAAAACATTAAGTAAGACAAAACAAACAATAAGTAAACAAACAAACAAATAAACAAAAAGTTTTACATTAGACATGAAAGTGCACACTTGCTTTGAATATTCTAAAACTTTCCACACTTTGGTCACTGTTGCCGTCAGAAGTTTTAACTTTACATGATGAATACACTCAGCTGCAAAACTGATGCCTCTTTTTTTTATGAACCTGTCTTTCGATAGGCCATATTTGTATTCCATTGTGTCCTTACAATGAAGCCATGGAGATGCATCACCAGCATATGATTGCTGGTTGCCATGGAATGAATTTGACAAGCATGAGCATTCACATGATGACTGTGATGTTTTAATGTTGGGTGAGTGTGGAATGGCTGTAGAGAAATATTGGTCCTTGTATGTTTTGTTTATTTGTTTTTCGATTTTACAATGAATATCAACGAACCAAAACACAAGTTGTTTTTCCATTCTTCGATTTGAAAACGAAACCAAAATCAAAATATAAATTGTTTTCCTTTTTTTTTGGTTTTAAAATGAAAAATTAGGAAAAAGACGGAGAACTTGTTTCAAGTTTTACATGTTGAAAATGAAAAACGAAAGTACGGCAGGAGTTGACATCAATCTTTTTGCCCACAAGCTAAAAACAGCTCCTGGCCTTTCAAATTTTAGGGGTTTTCGGAAGCCGTTTCACTGAACCCGGGAGCTATTTTAGGTCAAGTTATATTAGGCCAGAAAATAAGAGTTCTGCATCAATTACACGTACGCGCCTCTCAAAAATAGGGTCAGTAGGTCAGCAATTATTTGGGGTCTATTTTTCTGATTGAATGGCATGAATGGGGATGAAAGCTTAAAAAAACTTGTCCCAAAAGTGATAAAACCTGTCTGAATCCTATTAAAAATGTCTACAGTAGACAACTCACAACAGTTCACACAATGCTAGTCAGACATCATGACGGTAAACTGGCCAATGATGTCCATGCATTATGTGGTTTAGCATCCATGATGCATGCAACGGGCAGGCGATCAACCCTGTGCCGCGGCAGGATATTTTGTGGAAACACGCTCACTTCAAGTACAAGCAAAATCATGTCAAATTAAACTCCGGAACACAGAGAATACATACATAGACAAGAGATCAAGTTCTGTGAATTAACTTGAAGAAATCCTCTTGCAACATTGATGCTCTTTCAACCTGCAGCTGCAGGGTTGCTTGCGTGTATGGCCAATGTAGTGTAATTGACCGGGACGTATAGACTGGTTGACACAATTCCATCAAGTGTTCTTTGGTATGGGCGCAGCAAAACTTTGCTTTAATGGTTGAGCTTTGCGCACGTTTTCCCCACTGCGATAGTGAAATGTCAAGGGAACTTGTGAAAATAACAATAGCAATTGCAAATGTACATGTAAGTAAGAAAGCATATAAAACGTGAAAAAAGGTTGTCAAACGTACCCTCACCACGGTCAATTTTTTCATGAATTCTTTGGAATAAAGTGTGTCATTACCTCTAAGAGGATGAGTAACGGTCCAGCACTAATTTCAGCGCCTGATCTCTCGCTTTATTAGAGGTTACCAGGTGCTAATCATGGTTTGTCGGACGCAAAAGAGCTGGTGCGCCCGCTTAATGCCAACCCCTGAATCTTGTTTAAAATTTTAGTTTTAAAGTCCCAATTTTGTTTGACTGCACACGTAATATTGAGGAAGCGTCACGGATAACTCTGAGTACTTCCCAAGAGGAAAGCTGCCTTTGAGCATTCAAGAACTTTGGGTTCCTCCTTCTTTTACTTTAAATGCAACAGATCCCTGGTATTCCTTCAGTTCAGCCATGATTGATTTTGTGGGTTACACAGATGTTCCTTACTTTACAAAATGAAAAATAGAGCTGTTTTTCATTCTTCAAAAAAGTAGATTGAAATATTACGATGTTATTCATTTTCACATTGAAAAGTAAAAAAAAAAGTCGTATTTCCCTTTTTAGTGAAAGACGATAAATGACTTGTTCCTCTGTTTTCAACTTTCTGTTTTCAAATTGCAAAAAGAGAAATGACTTATTTTTTGATTTTCATTTTTAGATTGAAAAATGAAAGAACAAAACGTACACAGACCAGTATCCATAGACCATTGGTTGTTGAGGCTGGCCTACATGTAGACTTGATTTGATGTTTGTGTTATCAAGCTCATTAAGACCCTACAGTTGAATACATTAGTTTGCTCCTACTGTGTACGTGTACATGTAGGTCAGCTCTGGCATCCGTCACAAAAATTGCACAGTTGAAAAAAAGATTGAACACACTGAAGTCACACCAAAAAACCCTGTTGCTTACAGTAAATGTTGGATTTTCTTCCCTGAAAAAGCTGCTTGGGGCATTTTTTTTTCAAATTCTTCAACTTTGCAATTTTGATTCTGGCGCCTATAGAATCTGTAGGGAGGCACAACTCTTGGGTGTAGGCATCAGCAATTTCATTCCCCCCCCCAAGTTCTTCTGTTTCAGCTGTTTTTCATCAGCGTTGGTAAAGACCGTGGCATGTGTCCATATGTCAACCAGTTCATATTCAAAAGGTCCATAGTGTGTACAGGTGTCACCCATGGCCATATTTTCCTGAAGAAAGAGCTCATTAAGGGTAGTAACTGCACATATAGATTTAGGGCACATAGCGTAATGCAAGCAACTGCGAAAGCATTAAATTTGATGTTGTCATGAGAGCCTACCAGGTACCAACAGAGGTATTAATACTCAATGTCCTATACCTTAGTACACAAAGTTTTAAGGATGCAGATTACCAGCGAAAAATTGCGGCGGCGATCATAGGGTACAAAGGCATTTTGTGGTTGTGAAATAGATAGTGCGTAGCAAGTGCTCGCTGCGCTCTGGCTATGGACATACCAGGCATGCCAGAAAGCGGTAATGGGCCAGATGTTACAGCCCGGGCAGTTCAAACTCCTTCTGTGTTCTTCCTCTATGCTTTTAGTAAGCTATTAAGTCCTTATCTAAAATTACTGATTTTTTTTACCGTAAAAATGTAGCATTGGGTCAACTGGCTTTTTGCACACAGCTGGAAGGGGCTGTGTGCATAGCTCCCATTTCCATTTCCAATCGCACTGCTTAACCTTGATACAGTCTTCATTGTCACCGTTGGTGTCACTATCCCACTGCACACTTTCATCCAAGGGGACCCTGGTTGCACCCTCCTGACACACCCATGGGTCTGAATACATGGAGAAAAATGGAGACCAAATGAGAGTTTCCTTATTATATACATGTATGTAAATACACAACAAACTTGTCAGAGGCAAATACCTTGAACTGCTTTGAGTCCATGTCAACACAGTCAGCCTCTCCATAATAGATAGGCACAGCTGATGGGTTTCAACTTGAAGTGTCAATCTCAGCTCACCTCCTGCTGATGTTGATGCCCACTAATCCCCAATCTTTTTTTTTTGCACACACACTAAAGTCTGAGAAGTTTGTGGAGGCGGACTGTGTGTTGAACTGTGAAATTAGCCAAAATGTGCTTTTTAATTCATAGTGTACTTTCAGTTGCAGTGTACTATATATTACATGTGCCGTATTTTACCTGGGCTCAGACTATATGTGTATTTGTGAAGCTGAAAGATTAAGCTGGTTGTTAATTGTCCATATGTATGATTTTAATCAAACTACTTGATTTAAATCTTGCGATTTAAATCTCACTTTGCAACATTTTGTTACAAAAGCACTAAAATTAGGAGAAAAATAAACTATTTGCTGCTAAATTTGCTTGCCTTAGAATGGATACTCGGGCTGACTTGCCTCAATTTGGAAGCATGCAATAAAATATGCTTTAATTCTAAATTTGTCTGTACATGTATATTGCCAACCCTGGCGGGCATGCCCTGTAGTGTTGTCATACAAACAGCCCAAATGTGGATGAATCAACCTTTTTAGCATTTTGCTGTAAACATCTTAAGTTGACCGTTATATCTTACCTTTTGTAAAATGTAAATTTTCCAGCCCCAAATAAATTATACCATTAATTTGTTGAGACTACACTGCTTTTGTGGGATCCAGTCAAGTTACAAGGACAGTGTACTTATTGGTACCTCCCTGTTGCGAGCATTTGCAGTTGATCCAGAATTCCCTGTTGTTTGCTGGCATCAAGCTGGCAAAGAACTTGCTCTCGTTCTGAGATCGTGGCACAGCCATCACCCCGCCCATCTGAATGCACTCCTGCGCGGCCTCCGGCCAGCCCAACCCCCTCCCTGTGGCATTGTAGCATTTGCCCTCCCACTGGCTCCAAGTAGGAGGACACGTCCCTCCAATGGAGCCCATGCACCTGACCTCTTGGCAGGTGGTGTAGCAGCATCCAACACACAGTAGGAAAAGGAGGCAAGCCAATGCCATGCCGTGCTGAAATTGAACTCACCCAACCTTTAAAAGGTTACTCAAAGTGGTCCCACGAATCCCCACGAATATCTTACCAGTGTCAACAATTTCAGTTTGATGTTACCAATACAGTACTTAAGAAGGTAAAGTGATGTACATGTTGGTACTTGATGTTGCGTGAAGTATATCGCACTGATGGGTGTCAGAACTGGGCTTGCCACTGATTGATTTATAAAGGTTCGTTTTTAATAATGTAACAACTTGCAGAAGCCACAGGTCAAAGTGAAACCTCACCGATGGCTAGTACAAACAAAATACGCATGAAGCTGAAGATTAGCCACAGTACAAATCACTGCCCTTTCGTCA